AGGTTTTGGTTGTAGCACTATGCCATATTACTGTCTATATATTTGACCAATTGCTTTTTCCTACCGTGGCATTTCTCCTTCCTACCATCTATAATTGCAGTTTGCCCCTCAGGCTGAGATGTTCCTCCTACCTACATTCCTGGTGTAAGTCCTCACATGTGTGGTGGCCAGTATCCCTCCTCCTACTGTGCACTGGATGAAAAATGCACACTGCCACCAAGTTTTGGATTGGAGATGCACCACAAGTTTACAGTCCCTCTTCTTACTGTCTGCTGTATGTCAGTTATCAGTGGTTCTGATGTTGGTTGTAGCTGGATGCAACACAGGTTTTCCCACTTGCACATGGCTGGGTATCATCTTCCTATCGCAGAATGGAAGTACCATACCTGTTGCTGTCAGGTTTTGGACTGGAGATGTCATCTCACAGGGGCTTTCCACCTTCCTACCATCTGCTGGATGTCGGTTCCCAGCGGATCTGGTGTTGGTTGTGTTGGAAATGTGTACAAGTGGAGACAGATTTGGGTACAGAAGTTCGTCTTCTCTACCAATTCCAGTTTCGACATGAAGAGGTATGTGATCTTCTACCTACTGAGGATCTGATTTACCATTCCAGATACTGCCTGGTGTTGGTTGAGGTCGAACTACCACTACGTTCTGTCTCGCCCTAGCCCCTCAACACTCAGGGGTCCTATTAATTGGTCATACATATTCTGATATTCCTTCATGTTTTTCCGCCTTTTATGTTCGTGACACTGTCATAAAAGAGCAAAGAGTATGACTGAATCAGATGTGGTGCAGTCTTTCGCTGAGGAGTTTTTATCTCCTTTGGTCTCTCTATGGGTGCTTCCTAAAGGGGGATAATTTTTTTAACTGGCCCTCCACCAGTTCAATGTGGGATTCTAGCTATTTTGTGAGTGGAGGTATGGTATTGTATTGGAAGTTAGCATTTTATTACAATGAAAATGTCTTTCCAATAGATACGTACCTCCTTTCACATTTCACACCCATCTTCCCCATTTCCAGTAATATAATGGTGTAGGTTATCTGACCAATCTCAAAGTGATTAACAAGTGCAAATGTGAAGAGTACTAGTTACAATAGAGGTTGTGTCACACTCCTATTGGTGGAAGGCTGCTGCATGGTCATTTGCATGTGGATATGCAGAAGTGGAGGGGTGGAAGGCTAAAGGTGAGCGTGGAAAATTTGTGCCGATAGAGGGCAGTACTAATCGAGAAAAGCTATTTTGTGAGAGGAGATATCTATCAGACATACCTTTTCAGTGTAGGAATATCTTAATTCGTACATATATAACATTTGGTAAGACTAGTTTAGCTTTTTAATAATGATGGTTTATTTTTATATTACTCTCCAGAAATTGATTATTTCTGTTTTATAATATACATGTAATGATCCAAAATAGATAAAAAGCAATCTTTCCTAACTGAGGCTTAAACCCATGATGTCTGCTCATTCCAACTGAAGAAGTATGGCTTGAGTCCCAAACATAGAAATATATATTCATCTTTACTTTTACAAAAAACACAGCCAATTCCATATATATACAATATCCGTTCACTTGCCCTTGGATATGATATATATGCAATAAAGTATTTTATTATACCATGTTTTGAATATCATGTTATCCCTATATTATACTTAGAAACTATTTATGGGCAAGATAAGTTTATTTATTTTTCACTTAAGATGTACTGCTGTGGCACACTGGTTTTGAAAGATTATTTTAATACTATTAACTTGTGTTTATCTAAAGAAATCTGTGTATGTCATGAGAGTAAATATACACCTGGAAAAAAGTTAAGCACCCCCAAATATTTTTCAGGATTGCTTATTGAAAATAAGGTTTAATTTTCATGATGTTGAGCAATGTTCTTAATTTCAAACATAATTAAAAGGATGTGAGCGTTCAGGTGTGACATTTAAATCAGGCGCGTTTTTTTCCCCTTTCTTCACGTCCAATATGCACTATTTTCTCGTGCATCAAATCGGTATTTAAGTCCCGAATTTCTG